CCCCTTAACCTTTTTCATACAACTGACACCACACAACCCTCCTCCCCTCCCCCACCCGCAAACACCCACCACCACCAACATTAATTAGTTTAAAACTCTATCCATAGCCCTAGTTATGCAGTTTGCCAGGACTCTGGTCCCAGCATGGTGAAGCCTGTACCAATAGAACAGGTCCCTCTTTTCCCGTTTCTGGTGCAAATGTCCCATGAATTCAAACCCATTTCTTCCACACTAATCTTTTGTGGCTCAGATTGTAATCTGGAGATTATTGCCTTTTTCGTTCTGCTTTTGAATTTAGGCCTTAGCTGCTCAATCTCCCTCATTAGAACGTCAGGGTCTTTTCCTCCCCAAATTCCTATGCAGCCCAGATGAGATATTCTGAACCCAGGTACTCGGCAAGCACCAGCCTTCTGGACTATCCACCCCTGGCCATACAGAACAGTATCTATTCCCCCGACTATTCAATCCCCGATTACATCTGCATTTTTCTTTTCTCCCCCTATCTTGAATGGCTCCCTCTACTACAATGCTATGGACAGTTTGCTCATCCTTCCTATAGACTCCACTCTCATCCACACAGGGAGCAAGAATCTCAAACCTGTTTACAAGCTACCTTTTGGATCCCTCTACCTGCCTCGCTTGTCGTACCCACCTTCCCCTGACGAGTTACCAAATTCAAGGTAATCTAAGACATGTGACTGCCTCCCGAATCAGAATGTCCAGGTAACTCTCCCTCTCCCTGTTGGGTCGCAGTGCTTGGAACGTAGACTCCAGCTCATCAACTGAGTTATACTTCCTCAAGCAACCAACATTGGCTACAGATATGGTCACTGTGAACCATAATGGGGTCCACCAGTTTTGACATCATGCAGGTACGGTACATTGCTTGGCCCTGCATCTCTATTTTATTTACTTTGCTCTTAATTTGATTTTAACAATTTCCTACTGGTCTTTTAGTTTGTAACCTGAAAATATTGCTCCTGTTTACCTTCAATCTGAAAGTAATTTATAATAGATTGTCAAATTAGCAGCTATTACTAATGTACTTACAATTTTCTTGTGATGTACTTTTTTGCTGGCCCCCAATCCTGGGCTTCAACTTAACCTGTGAAAAAATCTCACAAACTATGAACCAAAAGAGCGAGCAAAAAGCATCTCTTCCTCTCTGTATGAAATTCCCATATTGCCTCCAAATTCCCTGAACTATGTACTCACTTGGGCTGTGTCTCTCTTGGATGTGATTTCTCCTTCCTGATTGTGTGCAGATGCATTATTGACTAAATGGAACAGTTCAAAAGAGAATAAGGTCAATGGATTATTTCAGAGATAACATGTTTATGACCTCTACAGGGACTGAATGTCCTGTATGTATCATTATCTTGAAGGTGGGAGGAGAGTGAGCAATTAGAAAAGCCTATTGGATTTTAGGTTTCCGAGATAGAAGTATTGAATACAACAGTGGAGAAAAATGAATTTGCAGCCGGAGTGAGAATAGAGTGAAAGTTGGGGTAGGAGTGAATGCGAACAGCAGCAAAAGTGACATTAGAATCAGAGTGAGACCAGCAAGTGCATCAAATAGTTAGAAGCTGTATTTTCACAAATAATTTCAACGTAATATTACAGAGAAATGATTAATGATTATTGGGTGAGTACTTTGACTTTTTTCTAAAAGCTAAGCTGAGAAGTGTAATATTTCAATCAAGTCACAATAGCAGGAAATTCATGAACAAGAGAATAGATCCAAATATATTAACTTACTCGGCTGTCGATTTGTGGGGAGATATACATTTCATATTAACATTGTAGTGCAACTCGTTGAATTGCTAATACAATGACTTAAAGCTGGTTAGTTAAATTATACAAAAAATGTGACAACACAGATGTTGTGTTGCAGCTGCAGTTTGTGGGCTGAGTGAACACCAGTGTGATCCCTGCAGTATGTGTCTACAGCTTGAGGAGTTTCCGCTCAGAGTTGTTGAGCTAATGTTTCAGCTTTGAACATTGCAATGCCTCAATAAGAGAGAAAATTAGCTGAATAGCCACATCCCTGAGTTGGTACTTCAAATTTGACTTGTGTCAGGGACAGGAGGTTGTGACAGTTGGTAAGACAGATATAGCGATCCAGAAGATAGTAATGCAGCCCTTCTATGGGCTTATTCTAATTGGGGGATTAAAAGGAACCTAGTCACAGCAGGGGACGGTATAGTCAGACAGTAGTTGCTGTTCTGAGCAGCTGCTAGCATGAGTCTCAAAGGCTGCTTTACAATCCAATGCAAGAGTTAAGAACATCTCCTCTGCACTGGTGGGTGTTATGAAGCAGAAGTTGACCCCCACCCCCCCCACCATCCCTCCCCGAGAACTAAAACCAAAACACCCAAAGAGGAGCACCTCACCCTATAATCTGTGAAAAGAGCGTGAAAAGTGGGGTAACCTGCCTTTCGGCAACTTCTAGTGGTTATAAAAAATAAATCCATGACACTTACTTTAAAATCAACAAGTAACAATTTATTTATTTAACTCTAATAATGAACAATTTAACTAAACTATTAACAAACTGAATAAATCCTTTCTAACTACTGACTATTGCCGAATAAAGCAAAATTGTAATGGTATGCTGTTCCAATAAATGCAAGTCCTACGTATATATAAAAAAAAGGATTTAGTCTGTGGAAATTACAGCCAGGTTACTTGTTTTCCGGAATGTTCTGTGCTTTCTCCACTGATCCTTCTGTGAGGAATGGCTTCTACATCGATTCTCCTGTCAGGAATATTAACTAGTTGTGCTGTCAATACCATTGGTATTTAGATGGCGCTTTCTCTAAGACATAGAGAAGGCTGTTAGAGCTAGTGATTCTGTCTTGAGCTGAGAGCTGTTAACTCTGGTGGATGGTATTAGCTCTGGAGTTTTGTTCAACTGCCTCCTCCTTTTACACCCTTGATGACATATCAATATTTCTTACAGTAGGATTGGTCCTATGTTATCAAAACCATTAGATTTAAATTTAATAGGTTTTTGGTATCTAAGTGCCTGGTTCAAATTGATTGGCTAAATTAGCCTGCTAACGGCCTTTTGATCCAAATGTTTTAATTTGGGTGCTGCCTGCGTACTTGCAAACTTTCAAACTGCTGCTCACAAATTTCCATTTTAAATCTCTAAGCACAGAAAAAGTAAGTCATCTTTTAAAGGGATCATCCAATGCTTTTCTCCCTAGCGTTTTACAAACACCAAGTTCTAACTTCCTGCCCCCAATCCACAGGTACTCTACCCAACTTTGCAACACATCACACCTTAAAAAGAAATTAACCATCATTATGAAAAATGGCTTTTTTTTTTCCTTTTAAAATCTTAATTCCATTATATTCCCAGATCCATAGGTAATTAATCGAGAGTTGCACATTGTATACTAATTCTATTTATAGACAACATTGAACACTACTGTTTCTATCTTATATAAACATTTTTCTTTTAAACTCGCAATAAATCATCCACAATAATATTTTCACAACCTGCAAAATGTACAATCTATAACTTAAGTGCTTGTAATGTGAAACTCCAATGAAATAGTTTGGTGTTCTTGTCCTTAAATCTTTCCAGAAATGTCAAAGGATTGTGATTGGTAAACAGAACTGTCTCTGATGCATTGTTTGCAATGTAAACATTAAAATGTTGTAAGGCCATTGCCAAACTCAATAACTCCCACAGTCTCTAAACCGGACTGAATATGACTAAGACTTGTGAACTGAGAAGCATGAAGAAGCTTTACCCTTTACACTATAAGTGTTTGGGCAAAGAAACAACTTGGTAAAGAGCCAAGCAGTAAAGAACTTTGTACTTACAAAAGCTTAAAAGAAGAAATCTACCTTACCTATGCAAGATATACCTCATATATACTTGGGTGTGCGAACCCACATGCTGTCTGTTTTGGCTAATGAGATTGTACCTGTGAGCTAACTCTAGTGGCTACGGTATAATGAGTATTTATGACAAGCTAAAGAATTCAAAGCAAATTCTCATGATGAATGGTAGGAAACCTGAACTGTCTGAAAGGTTTTGAGTACTTAACAACAAAACATAAATCACCAGCAGGGAAAGAGAATCTTTGACTCCTCAGCGATAGAATACCCCATTAAATGCTCCAGGCGGGCCTGGAAAATTGTGTCCAGTATCTCCTAAACTTAAAGCATTCAAACTATGTTGCGTTGTGGTATCACCCATGATTAAGTATTGAAGGGTCTAGGGTGAAACTTTGAACAGTGCTTCGAGGATGAAGGAGATCACCTGAAATCTGACCTACACATGTTGTCTACAATGAGTGCAGAATTATTGATTCTGGTGCTTCAAGCCATATTTGGAATAAGAGATGAGCTTTCATACCGATTCCATGAATAACATTTGCAGTCTGCCATTATTTGACTTGTATTTTCTTACTACCTTTGTATATGAAGGTTGCAGATCAACAAATAGATGTGGTGACTAGTGATGAAGCATCAATTGTAAGAAATTGTGGCTTTATTTGAGGAAAGCATTGTCCGGAAACTCATATTGCCGAATGATGTTTGGTTCAAAGTAAGCTTTTATAAATTACTGGGCGGCACGGTGGCTCAGTGGTTAGCACTGCTGCCTTACAGAGCCAGGGACCCGGGTTCACTTCCACCCTCAGGCAACTGTCTGTGTGGAGTTTGCACATTCTCCCCGTGTCTGCGTGGGTTTCCTCTGGGTGCTCCGGTTTCCTCCCACAGTCCAAAGATGTGCAGGTTAGGTGAATTGGCCATACTAAATTGCCCATAGTGTTCACGGATATGTAGGTTAGGTGGGTTACAGGTGGATGGGTCTGGGTGGGATGCACTGAGGTTTGGGGTGGATTTGTTGGGCCGAAGGGCCTGTTTCCACACTGTAGGGGTTCTATATTCTATATATATTTGTAAATGTAAAAAATGAGTGTATTGTTCAGCTTCCACCCCTCTCCCTCAAACATACATACAAAACCATCTCTTCACAGGATAAATAATTGTGTTGGAGAGGACAATCACTGGCTCTTCCTACTGCTATGTTTCTACACAGAATTCCTAAGTTTTTTGACCCTTCTCTTCAATTTCTGCCAATATTACTACCTTGAACCTCTAACAAAAGTAAAAGAGGTAAGAAAATTGCTTCAATGTTTCCTCTTGTGCTGATGTTAAATATCAAATTTGTTCGTATTTCTCCCAAAAGCACTTATGGCCATACAGTGAGTTACATTGTTTGAACAGGATACAAGGCCATAAATCAATTCCACGCCGGACACTTTTGTAAATGCTTTAACTTATTTGTGGTTGCTATAGAAACTTATTATGCTCCATACCAAGGAGGCCAAGAGGGTGAACTGGGAACCAGTTACCAGGAAACCTGCCTGGGATGACGCTCTCTCTGTTTACTCTACCTGTTAAATGATGCATCTTGCAGTCACTTCTCTGGCTTTAGTAAATGGCAACAATTAGCAATTATTAAGTTGGTTGACACATCGCTCCGTCCACCCCCCCCCCCCCCCCCCCCCCCCCCCCCCCTCCCCCCACCTTTCACTATGTAGTAAACTCTGCACCAATTTCCAGAATGGGCAGCACAGTGGCTCAGTGGTTAGCACTGCTGCCTCACAGCACCAAGGACCAAGGTTCAATTCCACCCTTGGTAACTGTCGATATGGAGTTTGCACATTCTCCCTGTGCCTGCATGAGTTTCCTCCCAAAACAAAGATGTGTAGATTAGGTGGATTGGCCATGCTAAATTGTCCATAGTGTCCAGGGATAGATACAGAATAATACAGCACAGAAACAGGCCCTTCGGCCCATACTGGTCCATGCTAACCATGGTGCCCAATCAGCTAGTTCCAATTACCCGCATTTGGTCCATAACCCTCTAAATCCTTCTCAACCATTTACCTATCCAAATGGTTTTTTAAATATTGCTATTGTACCTGCCTCAACCACTTTCTTCAACAGCCCATTTCATATTTACACCACTCTCTGCATGAAGAAATTGCCCCTCAAGTCCTTCTTAAATCTATCCCCTCTCACTTAAACCTATGCCCTCTAGTTTTCAATTCCCCATCCCTGGGAAACAGATTATATGTATTCATCCTATCTTTGCCACTCATGATTTTGTACACCTCAATAAGGTCATCCCTCATTTTCCTATGTTCCAAGTAATAAAGGCCTATACTAGCCTCCTGGTTCCGGCAACATCCTCGGAAGTCTTCTTTGCACACTTTCCAGTTTAACTATGACTTTCCTATAACAGGGTGACCAAAACTGTACACAATCCTCCAAGTGCGGCCTCACCAACGACTTATGCAACTGTAACATAAAGTCCCAACTTCTACAGTCAATGCCTCAACCGATGAAGGACAGCATGCTAAATGCCTTCTTCACCACCCTGTCCACCTGTGACACCACTTGCAATGAACTATGTACTTTTACTCCTAAATCCCTCTGTTCCACAACACTCTTCTGGACCTTACCATTTACTGTACAAGCTCTACCTTGGTTTGACTTTCCAAAGAGCAACACCTCACAGTTATCTGTATTGAATTGCATTGCCAATCATCAGCCCACTTCCCCATCAGATCAAGATCCCTTTGTAATTTTTGATAACCTTCCTTGCTATCAACAATACCTCCTAATTTTGTATCATTCCTTGTACATTCACATCCAGATCATTTATGTACATAACAAACAACAAAGGTCCCAGCACCGACCACTGTGGCATACCACTAGTCATAGGCCTCCAGTCTGAGAAACAACCTTCAACTATCACTCTGTGCTTCTACCGTCAAGCCAGTTTTGAATCCAATTAGCTAGTTCTCCCTGGATCCCATGCAACCTAACTTTCATGATTAGCCTGCCGAGGGAAACCCTGACAAAGGCCTAAGTAAATGTCCATGTAGACAACATCCACTCCCCTACCCTCATCCACCTTCTTGGTTACTTCTTTGAAAAGCTGTAAAAGATTTGTCAGACATGACTTTCTGCACACAAATCCATGCTGACTATCCTTAATCAAAACTTGACTATCCAAATGTTGGTTGATCTGGTCCCTCAGTATCCTGTCTAATAACTTGCCTACTACTGAGGTCAAGCTCACTGGCCTGGAGTTCCCTGGCTTGTCTTTGCTATCTTTCTTAAACAATGGAACAACATTAGCCATCTTCCAGTCTTCCGGAACTTCACCAGTGGTTAAAGATGAAGCAACACTCTGTGTAAGGGCCTCTGCAATTTCTTCCCTAGCCCCCCAACAATATCCTAGGAAGGACTTGATCAGGCCCAGAGGGTTTCTGTAACTTAATGAGCTTTGAGGCTTGCAAACACCTCCTCTCTGATAATGTGTATGTGGTCCAAACCATCCTCACTTGTTTTCCTTACTTCCTTAACATCCATGATTTTCTCCTCAGTAAACACTGAGGAGAAATATTCATTAAAAATCTTCCCCCGTCTCCTGTGGCTCCACACATAGACGGCCATGCTGATCTTTAAGGGGATCTATTCTCTCCCTCGCCACCCTTTTACTCTTATATAGCTATAGAACATCTTGCAATTATCTTTAACCTTATCTGCTGGATCCATCTTATAACCTCTTTTTGCTCTTCCGATTTCCCTCTTCAGTGTGCTCTTGCACTCTTTATAGTCATCCAGGGATAGTCATCACTTGAGCCTGATAGCTTAAACCCAATGTATGCCTTTTTTTTTCCTGCCCCTGACTCTTGATATGATACTTTTAAAAGCCTTCCATTTGCCAGTCATTCCTTTTCCTTCTAACAGACTCACCCAATCGACCTCTGCTAGATCCCACCTAATGGCCCAAAAATTGGCCCTGCTGCAGTTCAGCACCTTAACCTATGGACCTGTCCTATCTTTTCCTATAACTATGTTAAAACTAAGACAGTTGTGGTCACTGGACCCAAAGCCTTGGACCTCCCACCTCAACAGCACTGTTGATGTATTCTAGTTATTCAAAAAGGCAACTCACCAGCAGCTTCATAAGTGCAATCAGCGACGGCCAATAAATTCTGGCCTTGTCAATAACATTTACGTCATATAAACAAATAACAAATGCTAAGGATGGCTCTCATCTTATTCTGTTTTTAACCTATCCATAATATCACTTGTGGGATCTCTCAAGGTGCTATCTTTGGCCCACCTACTGCTCATTTGATCACTTGCCCTTGGCAACATCAGCAAACTGAAGTTGGATGATGCAGATTGTCAACTCCACTTCATCAGCACTGATCTTGATCTGTGCACATCCTCTGAATAGTCAAGTTAAATATCAGATGGCCAGGCAAGCACAAACTGCCCCCAGATAGTTATTGAAAATAATGAATACATTGTCCTTATTCCTTTCTTTGAATTTCACTCTTTAACCATCAGTTCTGTTTCCCTCATTTTCAACTGTTTGAGGTTGAATTTAACTGTTCACAGACTCTCAGTTTATTTGCTGCTGAGCTAAGCTTTCAACATGGTATCCATTATAGCACCAAAAGTGCCTCCTTCTACCTGTTACAACCAAGATGGGAAGAATGCACTCTCTCTCACTGGTCCCATGACTACACGGGTCACAACATCAGTTTAATTGTTTCGCCCACTTCTAATGTGACAAATTGTATATTTTCTCAACAATAAGCTCAGAATAAAATGATCCATCAAACAGATTTCTATAAATCAACAGAAATATTGATTTGTTACAAAGGAAGTGTTTTTAACAATGATGCAAAATTGTAATATGCAAATATAAATGTTTAACCCTCTGATTAACCAAACACATACACAAACAAATGCAACACACATCAGATAAAGGGAAAAACAAAACTGATTTTCTCTCTATAGAGATTCACTTCAGAAAAAAAAACACTTTTTTTGGTCAATAAGTTTTAGTTTTTGAAGAAAGAAATAAAGGATAAGGTGTGGAATGTTCAGATGGCTGTCAATCTGATGTTCTGGCACAAAGATATGTGTGAGATCTGTTGCTTCATCGGGAAGCACAGTATCCCGGATTCTTCCACATGGTGTTGAAGAGGACAGTCAGGGATCGGACTGACTCCAGATCCCACACCGAACTCTCTACAAGAGATTTGTTCAGAAACAGGCGAGCTGGACTGAGAAACTCTTTTCCTTCCCAGAAGCAGAAGGAGAAACAACAACCTGACAGTTGTTAACCCGGTCAGGTGGTCTGCAGTAACCAAAACATTGTCACAGGACACATGTCTTTAAAGAAGTGCCCTTTAAAAAAATTGTTTACTAAGGTTCTTGAGTAGATTTGTAGCTCAGGTTGTGGATGCTGTGGTTGGTTCGCTCGCCGAGCTGTTTCGTTAGTTCGCAGACATTTCATTACCCTGCTGGGTAACATCATCAGTGCAGCCTCCAATGAAGTGCTGTTTTGTTTTCCCGCCTGGTATTTAAACTCCAGGGGTCCTTTGGATATCACTGCGACGGAAAACCGGAAATGAGGTAATGTGGTAATGAAATCCAATGGACCCCAGAGTTTAAATGCCAGGCGGGAAAACAAAACAGCGCTTCATTGGAGGCTGCACTGATGAGGTTACCCAGCACGGTAATGAAACATCTGTGAACTAACGAACCAGCTCATTGAGCGAACCAACCACAGAAATGAGTTTACTACCAGAAATTTTTAAAAATAAAATCACTAACAGCCATCTGTCTGTGCAATTCAGCCTATCCACTGATGAAACTCCTGTTTATAACATTGTTACTTCCAAATCTAATTCTCTATAATCTACTCTCCTAATTTACCACTTTTCGTAAACCTGGGCTCATTCCACTCTGTTGCTATCTCCTCAAATTTTGTTTAATTACTTCAATGTTCTCATTGACCTATGGTGACTCCCATTTGCAAGCAGATTTTAAATTCTCACTCTTGTATCTAAATCCTTCCATTGCTTCGTTTTCTGTTTACTCTGTTACCTCTGTATCCAGCTAAACAGATATTGGAGACCTCTGAATTGCTCCAGTTCTGGAAATTGGTCTCATTGATTTCCTTTGTTCCAGCCTTGACTACTGTGCCTTAACAATCTCACCCAAATCTCAAAAGTTGCCTCAGTATCCCTCACATCGCTCTAAGGTCCTTTTAGGTAGTCCTTAAACCTGACCTTTTTTGCCAAAACCTTTGGATACTGATCCTAACATAATCTTGTATTGCTCAGTGTCCTATTTTGTATCAGAAGCTCCTGTGAATCACTTTGGAAAGCTTCACTATGTTAATGGTACAACACAATTGTTGGGTTAGAACAGGATAAGACTAAAAAAAAGTTGAAAGGCAAACCATAAAAGATGAGATAACAATCTGATTTTCAAAGGTTTATTTTTGATTTGTGGAAATAAATTGACAGGGACAGCAATGTACACAATCTGTTGAGGTGTTATGAACTTCTATCTGTGGAGTGGGGGGGAGGAGTAAGAAAAATAAAGGCGATTTGGGGGAAGAAGGAAGAATTATTTTGGTTTAAATCTGTGTCGTTATAATTCTAGTGAGTAATTCACCTTCGCAGGAGTTCCTCAGCATCATCTTCAGCTTCTTCATCAATGATCTTCTCTCCATCATAAGTTGGGGAAGTTTACTGATGTTTGCACAATGTTATCACCATTAGCAACTCCTCAGATATTGAAACAATCCATGTCCAAATGCAGCAATACCTGGACAATGGCCAGGATTGACTGAAAAGTAGCAAATAACATACAAGTGCCAAGCAATGACCATTACCAACAAATGCACTTGCAGAAATGTATTGTTATTTTTACTGTGTTAATTCTTCATAGTAAATGTCATAAACAAGTATCTTTTAAAACAGAAAACAAGACCAGGGAAAAATTGCAAAACTTTCAAAGGTTCATAGATTGCAGAACACAAAGCAGAACTTTGAACTAATGAAATACATATTTTCATTAAGTGCAAAAGGAATCTGGACACTAGTATGAGTTGAGAAATTGCATCGTTCTTTTTACAAACAGGTCGGCATGAGTGAGTTGGACCAAAGGATCTGTTTCTATGCTGTACATCTCTATGGCTGTATAATTTTAATCACCAAAAGGATTCTGATGATCTGTTCATGTTCTAAATAAAACAATGTTTCAAACATACTTTGGACAATGTTGTGCTTTTAAAACCCAATTCAATATATAAACAAATGAAATTACAGCTGCTGTTGAATCATTTTGTAAGAATCATTTTCATGTTCTTAATGCTGAGAGTTAAACTGTGATGATTTTCTCCTTTCTTGAAAGGAGCTCTTTGTGTTTCGACATGAGTTGGCCTTGCTGCGGATATCTACCTTGATGGGCATAGTGATATTTGGAGGGATGTTTGGCCTCTTTTATGGTCAGCTGTCAAACATTCTAGTTGTAAGTATAGTTCCTAATGTCTTCGTGTAGAATCATTTTTCTTCATTCCTTCATGGGTTGTGTGTGTCGCTGACTTATCCAACATTCATTGCCTAGCCCTAAGTGCCCTTGAACTGATTAGCTCTTTAGGCCATTTTAGAGGGCAATTAAGAGTCAAACACAAATGTGGTGGCCAATCAGATTGGCTAGGAGATCCAGAGGATGGGGCTTGGTCCAATCATGGGGCAGAAGTCCCATTATCTACCAACATAGCTCACCTCAGTGCATTACGGCTGCAGGACAGGCCTGTCCCAGACCTATCATCAAGCCACCAACTTTCTATCTTCCGGAGAGGGTGGAGCCCCTTCCCTTCACTGTCCCTCTCAACATTGCCTGTAATGTTCTGCCCAGAATTTCAGTCAACAATCTTTCATCAGAAGACAACCTCATATTTGTTTTTAAATGTATCCATTACTCTGTGTCTCTGGGTGACACAGTGGCTCGGTGGTAGCATTGCTGTCTCACAGCACCAAGGACCTGGGTTTGATTCTACACGGGGCAACTGTCTGTGTGGTGTTTGCACATTCTCCCCGTATTTGCGTGGGTTTCCTCCAGGTGCTTTGGTTTCTTCCTACAGTCCAAAGATATGCAGGTTAGGTGGATTGACCATGCTAAATTTCCCATTGTGTCCAGGAATGTGCAGGCTAGGTGGATTATGCAGGGTTATTGGGATAGGGTAGGGTGATGGATCTGGTTGGAATGCTCTTCGGAGGGTTAGTGTAGACTCAATGGGCTGAATGGCCTGCTTCCACACTGTAGGGATTCTATAATGCTCTATGAAAAATAATTTGTCGATTTTGAAGATCCTTCATTCTGTTTTATTTCTAAAGTCACGGACTAGAGAAATAGGATGGGATAACTTTTTATCTCACCTTTAGATTGGCTGCAACAATCTTTGTTGGAGGACTGTTTTTAAATCTTTTTTAATATTGTGACTCTAAAGAATGTACATGAATGATCCATTGGAGAATGTAGGAGGGTGCTGCAGAGAAGTGACTGAGGAGGATTCTGAGACGAGTCAGCTCAGTCACCATGACCGAGGAGGAGTGTGCAGAAGAGCTGGTGTCAGCAAACGGTGCCAGATCATCTAACAGAGCGCTGCTGAGAGGTGACTGAGGAGGATTTTGCAAGGAGTTGGTTTAGTTACTGTAACTGCCCAGGAGCAAATAAAACAGAGACAAGATATAGCGAAGTGGCTGTGTTTGGAGAAGCCGTTTGGAGAAGCCATTTTGAGAAGGGGCAGCTTTTGTGGTTGCAGTGCTGTTGGAGGTTTAATTGTGGGCTTTGGTAAATATCAGACTTTGGTGAGAAGGGCAATCAGCAACAAAGTAAGAGCCAGGTAAGATTCTCTTCTTTGTCTTACTGTGAAGGGTCAGAGATTGCAGTTAGGGCAGTGGTATGCTCCTCCTGCTGGATGTGGGAGATCAGGGAGCAGTCTAGCGTCCCTGACAACTATGTCTGCCGGAAGTGTGATCAGCTGCAACTCCTCACAGACCATGTGGTTTGGTTGGAGCAACAGCTGGACACACTGAAGAGCATATGGGGAGTGGAGAGAGTGATGGACTCTTAGTTACAATGGTGTGGTCACACCACAGGTTCAGTCAGGTAAATGGTTGGCTGGCAGGAGAGGCAGGCAGGTAGTGCAGGAGTCTCCTGTGGGTATTTCCCTCTCAAACAGGTTTATCGTTTTGGATACTGGTGGGGAGGGATAGCTGCTCAGGAGAGTACAACAGCAGCAGCCAGGTCTGTGGCACCATGACTGACTCTGCTGTAGACCAGGGTCAGGCAAGTCCAAGCAAGCATTAATAGTTGGGGACTTGCTAGCCAGGGGCACAGATAGGCATCTCTGTGCTGCAATTGAGACTCCAGAACGAGAGGGGAGAGATACAGAAGGGCAATTTTTTCACACAGAAGGTGGTGAGTATCTAGAACAGGCTGCCAGAGTAGTGGTGGAAGCAGGTACAGTTTCATCATTTAAGAAACATTTAGACAGGTACATATATGGGACAGGAATGGAGGGACACAGACCAAATGCAAGCAAATGGAACTATTTACTTGTGAAAACTGAGCAGCATAGACAGGTTGGGCTGAAGGGTCTGGTTCCAAACTGTAAATCTGCATGACTCTATGACTCTATGATTCTAAGTACCGAGTGGACGATCCACCTTAGTCTCCAGTAGTTTTCAGCATCACAGGTGGCAGTCTTCCACTAATTCAATTCTCTCCATGTGACATCAAGAAATAAGTACTGAAAAGGCTACAAGCCCTGACAATATTCCTGCAATAGTTCTGAAGACTTGTGTTCCAAAATCTGCTGCACCCCTAGCCAAGCTGTTATGGCTATAACACTGACATCTACTCAACAATGTGGAAAATTGCCCATGTGTATCCTATAGACAAAACCCAGCCAATTACTGGCCCATCAGTCTATTCTGGATCATCAGTAAAGTTATGGAAGGTGTCATGCAACAATGCTAACAAACAGCACCTACTTGGCAATAACCACCTCAACTGGTACCCAGTTTGGGTTCTGCCAAGGCCACTGTGCACTTGATCTCATTGGACAAGTTCAGTCATGCCTTGGTTCAAACATGAACCAAAGATCCAAACTCCATAGGTGAGTTGATAGTGACAACGCTTACATCCAGACTGCATTTGACCGAGTGTGGCAGCAAGGAGCCCTATCAAAATTGGATTCAATGGCAATCTGGCAGCAAACACTCTGCAGGTTGGAGTCATACCTAGCACAGCCTCTTACTGTACTACCTATACACTCATGACTATGTGGTCAAATTTCATACGAATAGCATCTACATGTTTCCTGATGACACCACCATGGTAGGCCTAATGACAAACAATGATGAGTCAGAATCCAGGAAGGAGATAGAATGCTTAGTGTTGTGATGCAATGATCAGAATTTCTTTCTCAATGTCAACAAAACAAAAGAATTGATCATTGGCTTCAGGAAGAATGAAGAAGGACACACCCCTATCTATAACAATGGAGATGAGGTGGAGAGGGTCGAGAGTGTCAAGTTTTGAGGAGTGACGATAACCAACAATCTGTCCAGGACCTCCCACATAGATGCAACGGTCAAGGAAGTACAAGAACGTCTGTGCTTCCTCAGGAGGCTTAGGAAATGGGGTGGTACAGTGGCTCAGTGCTTAGCACTGTTGCCTCACAGTGCCAGGAATTTGGGTTCAATTCCACCCTCGGGCGACTGTCTGTGTGGAGGTTGCACAGCGTGGGTTTCCCCCAGGTGCTCTGGTTTCCTCCCGCTGTCCAAAGATGTGCAGGTTAGGTGGATTGGCCATGCTAAATTGCCCGTAGTGTTCAGGGATGTGTAGATTAGATGGGTTATGAGGAATGGGTCTGGGTGGGATGCTCTGAGGGTCGGTGTGGACTTGTTGGGCCGTAGGGCCTGTTTCCACACTGTAGGTATTCTATGATTCTATGATCTAAATTCAGCATGTGCATAAGAACCCTCACCAGCTTTTACAGATGGTAAAAAAAAGCACTTTATCTGGGTGCATAACAGCTTGGTACGGCAACCCAGGACCGTAAGAAACTACAGAAAGTTGTGTGCACAGCCCAGATCATCACAAATCCAGCCTCCCATCCACGCACTCAGTTTATACTTTTTGCTGCCGCTGAAAGGCTGCCAACATCATCAAAGACCCCTCCCATCCAGTAATACTCTTTATCAACCTCTTCCACCAGGCAGAAGATACAGAAGCTTGAACACGTATATCAAGTTCAAGAACAGCTTCTTCCATCCTTTATTAGGCTGCTGAATGGACATCTCTAGTTTCCAATATAATGTTGATCTTGCTTTTGTGTACCTTCTGTGCAGCCGTGACCTTGTATGCCTCGCTCTGCCTAAACACCCTATGATCTGTATGTCCTCCTATGTAATGATCTGCCAGTACTGTTCACACAACAAAACTTTTCACTGTACTTAAGTACATGTGACAACAATAAATCAAACCGTGTAGCTTCAATATCAGTCAAGAAGCTTGATATCATCCAGGACAAAACAGCCCACTTGATTGGCACCACATCCACAAACATCCACTGCTGATGATCAGTAACAGCAGTTTTTACCATCTACAACATGCACTTCACAAATTCATCAAGGATCCTTATACAGCACCTTCCAAATCCTTGACTACTTCCATCTGGGGAAAGGGAGTTAATTGTGGAATTTTAAGTACGTTTCTCATTTTTCCATGATGCTTTTAATCAATACTGGACCTATCTTGAGCTATCCTCTTAAAGCCTTTGGGGATAACTTGAAAAACTGAGGTTGACATCTGCAGAATGGCAAGCAGTGGTTGATTTGTACAACAGGATCAGTTTTGAGCAAGGTATAGATTAATGATCATTTTAAAGCACAGGAGCAAAATATAACAACAGTAACAGAGTGAGATATTACATTAGAGTAAAATACACCTGATTATTTCCTGTACCATAATACCCTAAATCAGTTCCAGAATTAACATCAAAGCTAAATCATTTTCATCATATCATATAATCAAATTATATCATCAAATCATATAATGCTTAATAATGTAAAATATAACATATAATAAGGATAACTCATTAAATAAAAACCAAAAGAACTGCGGATGCTGTAAATCAGGAACAGAAACATAAATTGCTGGAAAAGCTCAGCAGGTCTGGCAGCATCTGTGAAGAAAAAAATCAGAGTTAACATTTTGGGTCGGTGACCCTTCCTTGGAACTGATGTAGCTGGGAAAGCATCAGTTTATTTGCAGAAAATAGGGAGGGAGTGGGGTTTATAACTCATTAAATGATGGGACTGTGAAACAAGAAGTGCACAAACACATGGGAAATATAGCAGGTCACTCAGCCTCTGTGGAGAGGTTAAGCACATGAACATTTCAGATTGGCCATTTTGAACAGGGGATGAGGAGGTGGATGAGCATTCTAATAGAAT